TTATAAAAACTGTAATATTTGGGGATGGGTCGTTACAAAATCTTCTATATATACAAGGAATTTTTCTGTTTTTATACTGCAAATTCATCTTTTGTACTACAAATCTGAAATATGGGTTAGACTAGTGGTTTTGAGATTGACATAACTCCTCATCTAGTCTCTGAGATTTAAAATTGATAGAACTAGTACTTAAGTTTGTCCACCGTCAATCATTTTGATTACTTTGTGAAAAATGTTCGTTAATAAGGAAAATAGCCTCAATTTTTTTTCAAATCATTTTGACCCGTTATTTATTAAATTGAAGGTATTTTGTTATGTTAGTCCTTATTTAACATAAAATTTCTTACAAAAAACCAAAATGATGACGGTGGTCAAACTCACAGACCACTTCTATTGATTTTAAATTTCAAATACTTAAATGAGAAGTTTTGTCAATCTTAAAGATGATTTCGACTAAAAGGTCGAAAAAATGGCCTTTTGTAGTCTTTAGTCAATAATAGTGGGCTACCATTGCAAAACCCCAGCAAACTTCCTCTTGTTTTCCTTCAGTCAATGGAATATTGTGAACAATGAAACTCATCAAACTTCTGCTGCTTTCCTTTAGTCAACTTATCTTCCATGTAAAAAGCATCTCCTCCACTCTATATAAAACCATGTCTTTCCTTGTAGCGGAAACAGAAAAACCTAAACCTTCAAGAGATTCCTAAAACCCTTCCGACAAAATGAAGATGCTGGGAGAAATGTGGGCTCAAATGGGCACGGTGATTGCGAGTGTCATGTTCGTTAATGCCATATTTCAACAATACCTTCCCCACCACCTTCGGTACCATGTAGAAAGATACACTCAAAAACTAGTGAGCTTTGTCTACCCTTACATCCAAATCACCTTTGATGAATTCACCAATGATTTTCGCAAGCAAAGCGAAATCTATTCCGCCATCCAGAGCTACCTCAGTGCAAAACCTTCCACCCGGGCTAAGCGGTTAAAAGCTCATGATGTCAAGGACAGCAAGTCTCTGGTCCTTGGCATGGATGACAATGAAGAAGTGACTGATGAATTTCAAGGCGTTAAGCTTTCATGGGTTTTGAGGAAACGATCGGCAAATCAGACTTCATTTTCTTTCTATCCTCAGGTTGATGAGAAGAAACATTATAGGCTGACGTTCCACAGACGCCACAGAGATATCATCACGGGGTTTTACCTTGATCATGTGATTAAAGAAGGGAAAACGATATTGGTGAGCAACAGGCAACGAAAGCTCTATATCAACAATCCTACACAGAATTGGTACTCCTACAAGGGAACAACGTGGAGCCATGTAGTGTTTGAGCACCCGGCATCATTTGAAACCCTAGCAATGGACCCGAAAAAGAAGGAGGAAATCGTCAATGACCTCATCAAGTTCAGAAAGGGAAAGGAGTACTATGCGAAAATCGGGAAGCCTTGGAAGCGGGGTTATCTACTTTACGGGCCACCAGGCACTGGAAAGTCTACTATGATTGCTGCCATGTCTAATTTCATGGATTATGATGTCTATGATCTTGAGTTAACGACGGTGAAGGACAACACTGAGCTGAGGAAGCTACTGATTGACACGCCAAGTAAGTCTATAATTGTGATTGAGGACATTGATTGCTCGCTTGATCTTACAGGACAGCGAAAGAAGAATAATGAGAAGGATGAGGAGGACAAGGAAGAAAATAAGGATCCAGTTCAAAAAATGAGGGAAGATCAGGAAAAGACACCGAGCAAGGTGACTCTTTCGGGGCTGCTAAACTTTATCGATGGGATTTGGTCAGCTTGTGGAGGGGAGAGATTGATTGTGTTTACGACTAATTATGTGGAGAAACTTGATCCTGCACTCATTAGAAGAGGAAGGATGGACAAACACATAGAGTTGTCCTACTGCTGTTTCGAAGCATTCAAAGTGCTTGCTAGGAATTATTTGGATTTGGATTCACACAAGTTGTTTGAAACGATTGCTCGTTTGTTGGGTGAAACCAATATGACTCCTGCTGATGTTGCTGAGAACTTGATGCCTAAATCTGTTATACATGATGCTGAATCTTGTTTGAAGAACTTGATCGAAGCTCTTGAGGCTGCGAAGGAGGAGGCAAGAGTGAAGGCTGAGGAAGAAGCAAAATCAAAGGCAGAGGAAGAGGCAAAATTGAAGGTAGAGAAAGAAGAAAGAAAGACCAGTCTGCCAAAAGTTGAAGAGAAATGCAATGGAAAACAAGTTGAAACGGGCGAAGAAAACAGAGTTAGCGCTTAAAGATGAACGAAACAGAGTGAAATCATATGTATGAATTTCAACCTTTCTTAAATTGTATTTTGTGGAGTCTCATCAGTGTGTGTTTTTCCTTAATGTGTAATAAGAATCATTTCATGGGGTTGTATAAATTAATGTATGGAACGTAAGTGTTTCGATCATCAACGGCATAAGTAACCTGTACTGCAAGTAAAAAATGTCTATTTCTTATTAATTTTTTTTTTCTTAAAGTAAAATTTTCTCACTTAACGACTAATTGTATGTTACAAGAAACTAAGACTGATTGATCCACAGTAGACAGACGTGATGATGATGGGAGAAATGTGGGTCCAACCGGACGCGGAGATTTGCCAGTGTGATGCTTCTTGCTTGTTTATGCAAAATTTCTGCATTTTTTCCCATCGCTTTCTAGGCATAGAGACTGAATCCGCCCGCCATTGTAGATGATCAGAATGCTTAGTATATTCATACAAAGTAATCAGTGTGGTGCTTCATGCTTGTTTACGCTAAATTTTACGTATTTTCCCTTCTCTAAGAAAAAATAATTTATGTAAAGCTATGAAGTATACATCATTTCTCAACAAAATACAGAGGCCAAACAAGAAAGCAAAGTTTAAATGTGACTCCAGCAGACATGTTTGCTCATCTGGGATCCGCAGTTGGCAGCTTGATGTTTGCGTGGGCTATCTTCCCGCAATACCTTCCTTACAGCCTTCGAAGCCAGACTAAGAAATACTCTTAAAGATTGGAGGGTTTCGTCTATTCCAATCCAAGTTGCACCCATACTCACGCCAAAGCCAAAACCCTTAAAACTTGTAAAGAAAAAAAACTCTTCCCACTCATCACTCACGCCAAAACCAAAATACTTGTTTCATTCAAACAACACGACTTACTACCTCCAAACCCTCAAAACCCGAACTCCATATGGAACCATTATTTTCAATAGTTACTTGTGTTATACGTTTGGAGAAATTTTGATTCGAGAAAATGTTCGACATACCAGGACAAGAAACTTTGGTGACATTTTGGTGTCCATAAGCGGAAAATAAGCAGCACGTTTCGGTCAGCACTAACTGAGTACAAACGAAAATATATTCTCTAAGCCGGACTTCCACACAAGCTTCCGGTCTTGTCTACCGAACGCAGCTTTTACATTTGACAGCTGACTGCTGCAAACAACTGATGCTACTTCAATACTTTTCCTGTTAATCTCTCTAACATAGAAAAATTCTTAAATTTTAAGCTAGAAGACATGATAGGTGTACGTTAAAGAATGGCACTGACTTGGAAGTCTTTGGACGATCGTACTAGTGTCGATTCTCATAGCATTAAGGATAGCCTCGACAACACGGTTGTTATAGGTGACTCGATTATATGACAAGATTCTTACTTACAACCGGGTTTAAATTTCCATAACTCGACAAACACTTACGCAGATATATCTCCAAAGGCACGGGAGTAGCTGTCATTAAACGAGGAAGATGTAGATGTTATTGGCCTTGATTTTGAGTGGTGAGGTGGACCATTGACTAGTAAGTCTTTTGCTTTTGTTTTTTTATCAGAGACTTGGAAATTTTCGTAATAGCAACATTATGGTCTACGATTCCATGTCCAAATCTTTCACCTCTAAGTGTTTCCATGACGTCGCATAATTTGGAACATCTAAAAGAGGAGAAAATATGACGCGCCCCAACCCTGATATCCCCACATACTAGAGTAGGTAAGCGCTGGCCGACACCCGAGGGTGACGAAGCCATTTTAAATATGCATACAAGTAAAATAAGTAATTAGAAAGATTATGCCAATGTAGGAACGTGTTCAGAGTATACAACTAAACAAGGATAATATGAAGGAATTAGAATAAAAATGTACGAATAAAGGAATGAGACCTACACCAATTTTGATTTTGCTAGCGCCTACGTGTTCGTGACGACGAGTACTACGAGGATACGCCAAGAAAAATAACCTTATGTGACATGACATGGCGGTCAACAAAAGTCAACATTTTTTCCTCGAAGGGCTTTTTCGTAATTTCACGCTTTAAAATTATAAAAACTGTAATATTTGAGGACGAGTCATTACAAAATCTCCTTTATATACATGGCATTTTTCTCTTTTAATACTGCAGATTCATCTTTTGTACTACAAATCATCCCATTGCACGCTCACATTTGAAATATGGGTTAGACTAGTGGTTTTGAGATTGACATAACTCCTCATCTAGTCTTTGAGATTTAAAATTGATAGAACTAGTACTTGAGTTTGTCCACGGTCAATCATTTTGATTACTTTATGAAAAATGTTCGTTAATAAGGAAAATAGCCTCAATCTTTTTTTTTTTTTTTCAAATCATTTTGACCTGTTATTTATTAAATTGAAGGTATTTTGTTATGTTGGTCCTTATTTAACAGAAATTTTCTTACAAAGAACAAAAATGATGACGGTGGACAAACTCACATACCATTTCTATTGATTTTAAATTTCAGATACTTAAGTGAGAAGTTTTGTCAATTTTAGAGATTATTTTGACTAAAAAGCCGAAAAAATGGCCTTTTGTAGTCTTTAGTCAATAATAGTGGGCTACCGTTGCAAAACCCCAGCAAACTTCCTCTTGCTTTCCTTCAGTCAATGGAATATTGTGAACAATGAAACTCATGAAACTTCCTGCTGCTTTCCTTTAGTCAACTTATCTTCCATGAAAAGAGCATCTCCTCCACTCTATATAAAACCATGTCTTTCCTTGTAGCAGAAACAGAAAAACCTAAACCTTCAAGAGATTCCTAAAACCCTTCCGACAAAAACGAAGATGATGGGAGAAATGTGGGCTCAAATGGGCTCGGTGATTGCGAGTGTCATGTTCGTTAATGCCATATTTCAACAATACCTTCCGCACCATCTTCGGTACCATGTAGAAAGATACACTCAAAAACTAGTGAGCTTTGTCTACCCTTACATCCAAATCTCCTTTGATGAATTCACCAATGATTTTCGCAAGCGAAGTGAAATCTATTCCGCCATCCAGAGCTACCTCAGCGCGAAATCTTCCACCGGGGCTAAGCGGTTAAAAGCTCATGATGTCAAGGATAGCAAGTCTCTGGTCCTTGGCATGGATGACAATGAAGAAGTGACTGATGAATTTCAAGGCGTTAAGCTTTCATGGGTTTTGAGGAAACAAACGGTGAATCAGACTTCATTTTCTTTCTATCCTCCGGCTGATGAGAAGAAACATTATAGGCTGACGTTCCACAGACGCCACAGAGATATCATCACGGGGTCTTACCTTGATCATGTGATTAAAGAAGGGAAAGCGACATTGGTGAGCAACAGGCAACGAAAGCTCTATATCAACAATCCTACATAGAATTGGTACTCCTATAGGGGGACAAAATGGAGCCATGTAGTGTTTGAGCACCCGGCATCATTTAAAACCCTAGCAATGGACCCGAAAAAGAAGGAGGAAATCGTCAATGACCTCATCAAGTTCAGAAACGGAAAGGAGTACTACACGAAAATCGGGAAGCCTTGGAAGCGGGGTTATCTACTTTACGGGCCACCAGGCACTGGAAAGTCTACTATGATTGCTGCCATGTCTAATTTCATGGATTATGATGTCTATGATCTTGAGTTAACGATGGTGAAGGACAACACTGAGCTGAGGAAGCTACTGATTGACACGCCGAGTAAGTCTATAATTGTGATTGAGGACATTGATTGCTCGCTTGATCTTACAGGACAGCGAAAGAAGAAGAAGGAGAAGGATGAGGAGGACAAGGAAGAAAATAAGGATCCAGTTCGAAAAATGAGGGAAGATCAAGAAAACACACAGAGCAAGGTGACTCTTTCGGGGCTGCTAAACTTTATCGATGGGATTTGGTCAGCTTGTGGAGGGGAGAGATTGATTGTGTTTACGACTAATTATGTGGAGAAACTTGATCCTGCGCTCATTAGAAGAGGAAGGATGGACAAACACATCGAGTTGTCCTACTGCTGCTTTGAAGCATTCAAAGTGCTTGCTAGAAATTATTTGGATTTGGATTCACACGAGTTGTTTGAAACGATTGCTCGTTTGTTGGGCGAAACCAATATGACTCCTGCTGATGTCGCTGAGAACTTGATGCCTAAGTCTGTTATACAGGATGTTGAATCTTGTTTGAAGAACTTGATCGAAGCTCTTGAGGCTGCGAAGGAGGAGGCAAGAGTGAAGGCTGAGGAAGAAGCAAAATCAAAGGCAGAGGAAGAGGCAAAACTGAAGGTAGAGAAAGAAGAAAGAAAGACCAGTCTACCAAAAGTTGAAGAGAAATGCAATGGAAAACAAGTTGAAACGGGCGAAGAAAACAGAGTTAGCGCTTAAAGATGAACGAAAGAGAGTGAAATCATATGTATGAATTCAACCTTTCTTAAATTGTATTTTGTGGAGTCTCATCAGTGTGTGTTTTTCCTTAATGTGTAATAAGAATCATTTCATGGGGTTGTATAAATTAATGTATGGAACGTAAGTGTTTCGATCATCAACGGCATAAGTAACCTGTACCAAGTAAAAAATGTCTATTTCTTTGAATAAGTTTAACTAAGTAACTCTCACCTGTGTTTTATCAAAATATCCTTAGTTAATTACGTTCTTTCGTATCTTATTAATTTTTTGTTTCTTAAAGTAAAATTTTCTCACTTAACGACTAATTGTATGTTACAAGAAACTAAGACTAATCGATCCACAGTAGACAGACATGATGATGATGGGAGAAATGTGGGTTCAACCGGACGCGGAGATTTGCTAGTGTGATGCTTCTTGCTTGTTTATGCAAAATTTCTGCATTTTTTCCCATCGCTTTCTAGGCATAGAGACTGAATCCGCCCACCATTGTAGATGATCAGAATGCTTAGTATATTCATACAAAGTAATCAGTGTGGTGCTTCATGCTTGTTTATGCTAAATTTTACGTATTTTCCCTTCCCTAAGAAAAAATAATTTATGTAAAGCTATGAAGTATACATCATTTCTCAACAAAATACAGAGGCCAAACAAGAAAGCAAAGTTTAAATATGACTCCAGCAGACATGTTTGCTCATCTGGGATCCGCAGTTGGCAGCTTGATGTTTGCGTGGGCTATCATCCCACAATACATTCCTTACAGCCTTCGAAGCCAGACTAAGAAATACTCTCAAAGATTGGAGGGTTTTGTCTACCCTTACATCCAAATCACGTTCAATGAATTCATTGGAGAGCGTCTCAATCGCAATGAACCTTACTCCTCCATTGAGAACTATCTAAGCTCCAAATCTTTACACAAGCAAAGTGCCTAAAGGCCGACATAAAAAACCAACAGTCCCTTGCTTTTAGCCTGGATGACTATCAAGAGGTCACCGACAAGTTCCAAGGACTCAGTTTCTTGTGGGTTTCTGGGACAAACATGTTGAAAAGACAGACGTATTCTTTCTACCCTGTTGGTGAGAAAAGGTACTACAAGCTCATTTCCATAAACGGCAGGGGGATCTCGTGATATGGCCATACTTGACTCACGTCTTGAAAGAGAGCAAGGCTATGAAGGTGGTAAACCGGCAAAGAAAGATTTATTTGAACAATGGTTCACATTGGAGCCATGTCGTGGTTGAGCACCCGCTACATTTCAGACACTTGCCATGGAGCCAGAGAAGAAGGACATTATTGACGACCTAATGGCATTCACCAAAGCAGAAAACTACTATGCAAGGATTGGAAGGGCATGGCAGCGGGGATATCTCCTTTACGGCCCTCCAGGTACAAGAAAGTCCACCACGATTTCTGCCATGACCGATCTTTTGGGCTATGATCTTTATGATCTTAAACTCACTACAGTTAAAGACAAAACTGAGCTGATGGGGCTTCTGATTGAAACAACGAGCAAGTCTATTATTGTAATTGAAGACATTGATTGTTCACTTGATATTGCAGGACCGAGGAGGAAGAGAAAATATAAAGGGGAAGAGGAGGAAGAGAAAGATCCAAGGGAGAAGCTTGCAAAACAAGAACGAGAAACCAAAACCAGCCAGGTTAATATTTCCGGGTTTCTGATTTTTATTGATGGGCTATGGTCAGCTTGTCGCGGAGGGGGGATCATTGTCATCCCAATTAATCATGTGGAGCAACTCGATCCAGCACTTGTCCGGAAAGGAAGGATGTACAAGCACATAGAATTGTTGTACTGCAAGTTCGAAGCATTCAAGGTGCTGGCGGGGAACTACCTTAGACTACAATCACACGATTTGTTTTCCACAATTGTACACTGCCAGAGGAAACTGATAGGATTCCAGCTGATGTTGCAGAACCTTTGATGCCCAAGACAAATCCTTAGGATGCTTAAATCTGCCTACATAATATGATCGAAGCACTCGAAAAAGAAAAAGAGAATGGAAGGTTGAAAGCCGAGGAAGAAGGGAAAAGGAGAAATCTTTATATACTAAAACTCAGTGAGGTGTACTGTGGATGACCAGTGGGCGGACGATTTTGCCCCTCGCTCTCCCGTTGTGTGGCTTGCTTCGTGCAGTGGAAAGACAGTTTGCCCATTCTTTCCACGCGTCCGTCATCGTGCTTAAGGAACAGTTGCCCGGCTTGCCCACATGTCCATCATCACTGGACCTGCTTTCGGCTTCTTCAGTGCTTTTCGCCTTTCTCTCTCACCATTCTCAGTTTTTGCTATTATGAACCCTGGCTTTCTTTGTCTCGAAAACGGCGGTTTGTCTCGCTCATCAACCTTGCCGTCTCTCTCACAAATTATCAACAACGATGGTCTCTTGCCGGAAAAAGCACTCTGCAGCTAGAACTTTTTTCGATTTTTCATTCGAATCGATTCAATTTTTTACCCAAAAAAGTTAGTGTTTACTGGTGAGTTTTTCCGCCTTTCTCAACGTGGGTGTTTTATTTTTTAATTTTTTTGGTAGTTTAGGATTTGCAGATGGGTTTTGTGTTTAAGTTTGCTTTTTGTGATTTTGTTTGTAGGCTCGGATCCTTCCTCATCTTCTTCATCCAAACCAGTAGCCCCACCTTCGATTATTACCGACGGAAACATGACATATTAAGGCGCAACAACAATACTGTAACACTTATAAGAAAGAGCTCCAAACCTGCGAAGGTATTCCCTTTTTTTTTTTTTTTTTTTTTTTTTTTTGTTCTGGGCTTTGAGCTGTTTAGATGTTGAGAATAAGTTTTTAATTTTTTTTTTCATTACTTTGTTTATGGGTTCGCTCCAATTAAGACAATTAGGGAATGGGTTTAGTGTGAATTTAAATTATGGGAAATCCCTTGAGGAAAATCTTAGAATTTTTTAATTTTTGTGAATATATTTGTATTGAATCACTGACCTCTTTTTTATTTAGTAGGGAAAAAGGGAATGATGCGATTGAATAAGGCAATATGGATGAATTTCTTTAGTTCTTGCCATGATAATCTATTATTTTACTCTTTCACTTTATTTTACAGATTCGTTCGAACACCTGCAGGAAGAAATAATAAGGCCGTTGAAGCGTAGAACGTAGGTTTACTTTGATGCCAAGGTTATGAAAAAAGAGTGGTTTGTACATTAGCTAAGTACATATAAGTATATATCTCTGTGTATGTGTTTGTATCATTTGTTTTGATTGCGATTCTTGGTTTTGCGATTAGGATTTTTGGAAGGAGGCTTCGATTCAATTATTGGAACAGATAATATTTATCGAAAAATTCAATGGGTCAGTAGAAGCTGGCTGCTTGCAAAGACAAGAACATCAGTATATATGCATTGGAATTTGTTGCGCTGTAAGTAGCTTTATAGGCATTGTATGCCATTGCCAATACATCAGCTTATATAGCAGCAAAATTGTTTTGTATTAACTACTTTTTTTGTCCTTTTTTTAGCTGAGGCTTTGTATCGTGTGGACTTCAATTGGTGAGTATCACTTCGATGTTGATATAGTTTATTTTGTTGTAGAGGATATGAAGAAGTGGAAAGGTACCTGGTGGAATGTGAGTTTTGCTGCTTAAGACACAGAATGGTAACTTAGTTATTTCATTTGCTTTTTGGCTATTTCATTTGCTCTGTACAATGCGTTTTAGTTTTGTTCAACTCATAGATAGTTTAACCCATGATATGTCTTCTCATCGTTCTTGGATATCATTAACTACTCCTTGCAAAAGGTGAAACTGAATATATACAAAATTTTATATTTGTGCATCAATAGATTACTATGACTAATTTAAAGAAATTGTTCCAATTTGGTATCAATTGTGTTCAGTTGTTTGGAAGCATAACTATGTCTGCAAGAGATTTACTGAGGATCCGGATTGCATCATGTTCTGAATGAGCTTGAAAGAGGAGTTGCTCTTCATCTGACAATTGCATCGCATGTGAGTAATGTCTTCTGTTTTCATGTCTAAATTATTGAGAATTAACTTATACAGATGGGGATTAAGTGATTTAAAGACATTGCATTTTAGAATAGGTTTTGTTAATCTACCCATGGTGGAACCCAGCTGTTGAGAGGCTACCATAAGATAGAATCCACCAGATAGGGCAGTACAAACCGATCAGGCACACATTTTTCTCCAGTTCTGTAAGGTGTTCCCAACTATTCAAACCAAAAAATCTATGTTAATATCTCTAATATTTTCTTCTCCATTGCAGAATTATTAGATTGTTTTGGAATTTGATTAGTTCAATTTGTTTTTCAATTTTTTATTAATGTTGGATTGTTGGCTTATAAATTTAGAGTGGGTTGCTTTAGATTTTACTTGGAGTAGCTTGCGAATTGATTGCTGGGTTTTAATTTAGAGCACTATCTAATCAAATGAAGGGCCAAGAGTTTCTATTTGAATGATGGTCCCAGATCATTTCATTCGTTCCAGAAATGTTTCTGAATTTGAGGACTTAAAATCCAGACTAAAGAGTAGCATTATCTTGGATTGCCTATCTTAGCATGATGATTTTAAATTACAACAACTTTAAATTTTACATTTGGAGTGTATTTTCATGTACAGGACAAGGTGTGGATTGGATAGCAGGATCTGGTTGGAAGACAAGATTTTGTGAAAGAAAGGGTAAGAAAATGCTGATGAATTTTCGTTGTTGATCTGTGCATGTAAGAGCTCTTACTGATTGTTTTGTTTTCTTTTGGCCATGTAAAAGCTCTGTACATAGAGTTCACAATACATGCATAGTTTTTCATTGTTCTAAAAATTCTAAGTTCCTATAAATCTTTTCCTGCATTTATGAATTCTAAATAAATGCAAATCATAAAAATAATCAGAGTGGATAAAATTATTGGCTTATGTGCACTAATGAAATATGGCAGCCTTTCAGCTCCCACCCAAGGGTTTTTTAAAGAATGATGTAATTAAAGCAATTACACGCTCTGTTATGTTTTATATATAGTTGTGGTAGTTGTAAGGGAATGAAATATTTATGCAGATAATTGGTAGTTTAAATATATAAAAATGGAGAATAATTATAAATGGAACACCTAGGATATATAACATTGTTTTGTTTTGCATGTTTTCTCATGTTAGCACAGCTTTTGTTTATGCATTTTATTCAAGTGCTATTTTTTATTAGTGTTAATTTCGGGTTGTACATCTAAAAATTTAGTTTTTTTGTTGCCATTGTACATCTAACAATTAATTATTCGTTTGGAATTTGGTTGTTTGTTAATTTTTGATTACTACCTATTCTATCAACTTCATCTAAACTATTTTGCATGTATAAGATTTGTGTTCGTGCAAGTGATTTCAGACAGATTTCAAGCTGGGGTGTAGAGTTTTGATTCAAATTGGTGGATTTGGGTAAGAAACTAAGAAACCATGATATTTTCTTTTGGTTGTAAGATTTGAAATGGACATGCATGTGCTTTTCTTTGTGAGATATAAGAAATTGAGAAATTTTTTTGTTTATTGTTCTGGGGTGGGAGGGGTATTGACAGATATAAGAGCATTAGTAATTTTAATCAATTTGATAAATTAAGAATAGCGAGTTAGCGATATACACAAAAAATTTGTTAATAAATTGGTTAATAGGTTTTCATTTCCATTTTATTATTAGCTCTAATGCTTTTGCTTGACTTATGTGTATGATACAATTGATATGTTCTGTGTATATGAGCTTGCTTGAAATATAGCTAGGAAACATCTTTCCTTTTTTTATTTGGGCAAACATTTATTTCCTACACTGTTAACTTTCTTTAATGCTTGCTCTAGATTTTACAGGTTCTTTTTAAAGTTTGGCACTAAATTGCTTTTCTTTTCTTGGGTGCAAGGAAAATGAAGGAAGAGAAAGAATTAAATTCTGGATTTATCAAACACTTTGTAGATATTCCATGCATTTTTGCAGCTGGAATCTTTTGGTAAATACTTAACCTTTTAATCAAAGCCTATGTATGCCAATTGGTTTTGTAGTAGCATCAAATAATTAATTGCTTTTTTATTGGTAAGTGCCTAAATGTTTACACTTCAGTTTAACAGAAAATGAGAAATTGAGACAAAGTTGGAACCTAAATTACCTAATAAATCAATATTAGCAAACCCATGAACTTATTTCGTGATTATCACGATATTGTTTCAATATCCTACTTTTGCTTGCAATTCTGTTCTCTCCAAGACATTAAGGTGCATTTTTGGTTTTTAAGTTTCACCGCCAGATAACTGTTTGATTGTGATCTCTCTATGAGATTGGATATATGATTTAAAATTTTTGTTAACAAATGTTAATTGTGATTCAATTGTTTTTTCAATCATGTAAGGAGATGCAATCTAACTGATTGTAAAAGATGTCGACTATGTTGAACAAAAAATAGAAACTGCATGTCTGTATTATGAGAGGAAATGGAGAGCAATCTGTCTCAGTTTTGGAATGTGCTAGAATCAAAGAAGCTAACTCAAGGTGTTAACTTTGAATTTCCCCGAAATATCCTTTTTTTATTAATTATTTAGACGTAGAAATTCTCTTTGTTATTTTTATTAATTATTTATTTGGGAGTTAAGTGAAAATCAGTAAATGCGGATTTGTGTTTGTTTGCCCAGCTGCTATTTCAAAGCTGGAGGAGGCATTGTTGATTAATCCTAGGAAATATGATGCTCTGTGGTGCTGGGAAATGCTTAAATTGCTTGCGCATTATGCACTCTGGACCAGAATGAAGCAAAGGTTCCAAAAGGTGTTGTACTGCTTCCAGAAGGCTTCCAACGAGGTACTTCCACTTACAAATTTGTTATTCTTGGAATTTGTAATGCCGCAGCAACGCGCGGGCATTACTAGCTAGTTTATATATACTAAAACCCAAACTCGGGTGGTACTGTTCTATAACAGTAAAATGGCGAAAATGCCCTCTAAAAAATTCTTTCTCAATGTTTTCTACCAGCTTCTCTACAGTAAAAATTCGGTTGTGCCCTTTGTGTCCACGCGTCTGCCATCGCCTGTTTTCTTCGTGCGTCGAGTGGCTTTGCTCACCGTTTCCCTTTCAGGCTACCCACGTGTCGATCATCGTCGACGGCTCTGCTTCCAATTCTTCTCGACATTTCCTTCCGTTTCCACTTCTCTCTCTCACTCCGCAGTCTTCTCTCCTCTCATCTATCACTCTTCCTCTGTCTCTCCTTCCCTAAAGAACCATGATCTTTCATGTTCCCCTTTTCTATTCATTCGGGTAATTTTCCAGTACACTTTTCCATTTGCTTCCCACACTAATCTCACCCTGAAACCAACAAATCCCAAAAACCCTCAAGCCATCCAACAAATTGAAAAAACACCATCTTTGCTTAAAATTTTGAATTTTTCTAGGAAATTCTCGCCTATCCCTGAAATTTTCTTGGTGGGTTTCGTTCTCAGGTCCCGTATGTAAAAGAGTTTTGGCTTTGGTAGCAGATGAAGATCGGTGACAATGATCGGAGTTCGTCGCCGTGTGGGTGATCCCAGTGGCACTGATTTTCAATTCTGGTGATTTCTATGGTTTTGTGTTGCGTAATATTTGGGGATTTGGTTTGGGTCTGTGGGTAAACAATACTCAGGTTAAATTTGGTTCCCTTTATTTTCCCAAATTTGTTTCACAGCATGATTTTTTGATCCTTTACTTAATAGTTCTTAAGAAATGTTAGAATCTTTATTTGTTTTGAATTTATTTTTTTATATTTTATTTCCAAGCCTTGAATTTGTTTTTAATTTCTCTGTTAATAAATAAGTTTGAGGATGAAATTTATTCTTTCTTAACATTATTTGACTGCAAATTCTAGGTTCCAACCCCCCGTAACGCAACATGCTGGATTCCAATTCTTAATTAAGGCGGATGATGCAAAACCCAGAATTTCTTCGTACGTTGACTTCTGCTTAGACTATACAGGTATATTTATTCTTGGTGCCTAAGGTTTTGAGTTTTGAAGTTTGTGTTTGACTAATTAACCATTGAGATAGCCGTTATATATGACACCACCAAGATTCTCAATTCTTAGTCTTTCATATTTACAATTTGGTTTGTGGTCTTTGGACATCTCTGCTGCTCTACCCATTACCAAGCACAGCTCGACAATCCCCAGCATTAGCAACTATGAGGGTCCTACAAAAATTACAAAGTATGTAAGACTAAGACATGAAACCTAATTAAGATTCACAACTTCTACATGCAAAGTATTTAGAAAGAAATTCCATACAAACTCAATGCTCATCAGTCAATTTCTTTCTCTCTTTCATAATTGAACTTTTGCTTCTTATTACCTTTGTTTTTTCTTTTCTATCTTGCAGATACTCTTTACTTTGCAGCAATCACTTCTGTCGCAACTGGTCGACAACAGTAACAGTCAACCCAGTAAGAAGTGACATAGATTTTTCTTTGATATGTTTGATAGATATAGCCCGAATTGATATTTCTCCCTTAGCTCCCTGCGAAATCCATGTTGATTATATGGATTAATTATGCAACTTGATTGAAGTTTGATGTAATTTCATATTGTTAAACCCCTTTAAATGGATGAGAAAATATTGTTAAACCCCTCAAACTTTGTTTGAGCTCTACTTTCAATTTAATTTCATATCAGTGAGACAATATAATTTTGTTTGAAAGGTTGGAAAAAGCTAATAACTCTTGGCAAAATGTCTTTATGCAGATCACAGACAAGCAAACATTATCAAATCTATGTGTATGAGTTGCAAAGATACATGTGGAAAATAATAGGTTTATTTTTTATTTTTCCAAAATCCATGCTGAGCAATTTATGTTTCTCTTTCTTTAACATTTTTTTTGCTTCGGTTTTGCTCACTTAATAATTTGACTGACACCTACTTTTTAGAATTAGAATAGAATATGGTTATAATTATCTGCAATTGTGGGGTAGTTGGCAAAACTCAAGACCCTTTTATGCCTGTTTGAAGGAACAAACAGAGGTTGTAAACCCCTGCCTTGCTCATACATGTTTTACTCTTTCATTGGCATTTAATTTATTTTCCTGTTTTGGTTTAGGCTTTTAGTTTGGTTTGATTTGTTGTTAACTTTGTTAATCTGGTAAGAATTACATTTTTCTAATGGCTTGGATTTAGGATTTCATTATAATTTCTTCTTTTTCAACATAATGGTTAATCTGGATAAGGAGGTAGTTTGCATTCAGGTGAGGTGGGGCAGACTTTTTTGAGAAAGAACTTCTTGGTGGTGTCCCCTGGAGGACAAAATAGTACTATTTAGTGACCAGGAGCTGAGAGCCCAATTTCATTACAATTTCTTATTTTTCAACGTAATGGTTATCGAATTAATTGTTTTTCCTTTAAGGGTACCAACAGCAGGCTAGACTCATACCTTTCCATTTTTTTCTTCCAAATTCCTTTTCTACATTGAATCTTATTTTCAAATTTGTTTTATATTTTTGCTCGAAATTCACAAGTGCAGTGTTTTCTATTTGTTAAGGGCATAATAGTATATCCATTCAGTTTAATTTCATTTTAACTCGGTGGTGGTTTACACAGTTTTCAGCATTTTCCACATAGGTTCTGATTTTAATTGTTTGCTAAAACCTATAGATTGTTAAAACTAATGACAAGCTATTACTATATATTGTTCATATCAAGGATGGAGACATTTTTAGATTACCCTAAAATATAGCTAGGAAACTTCTGTTCTTTTTCATTACGGCAGACATTGATGCCCTACAGTGTTGACTTTCTTTAATGCTTCCTCTGGAGTCTACAGTTTCTTTTTAAAGTTTATTTGGTTGCTGGGAAAAAAACTCAGAAATGAAGGGCTTTAGAGTTTGATCATTTGTGCCTCAAATTTGGTACTGTTTCTTTCCCCTATATAATTTTGATTGGTAATATAGATTTTCATCATAAATTATTGTATTCTTTTGCAAAGTTGTTCATGTTTTACACCTCTTTTAACTTTAACACCATTTCACCTGAGAACTCAACTTCAATTAGAGAAAGAGGAAGAGGAGCATAGAAGTATCTCCACTACTCCTCTGTTTCATTGGTAATATCTCCAAACCCAATTCTTAGTTTTTAGGTTATTTTCACATCAATTAATTTTGCCTGTAATGTTAAGGCATGCTATTCTAAGGAATTTGCGCACACAATTTTTTTTTTTTTTTCGGTCAAATAAATAGATATGGGTCTTCAACAAGTTATTTTTAAGTATTATAGTTTATTATTTCACAACTATAATTTTTCAATATTAATGGTAAAGCTTAATTTCGGATTGCATGTCTGAAAGTTTAGCCTTTTGTTTACAATTTGAATTGCATGTCTCAAAATTTATAGTATTTTCTTTAATTGCCAACTTAAAGCTCAGAGAAAGAGGTAGCAGCCATCGAAGTAATTCGAGTTCAGATATGAGTTCATATCTGAGTTCAAATCCTATTTTTGAGCCCTTTGTTTCATCGGTAATCAGGTAAAGCTCAAATATTTCGAACATGTTTAATTTTGGATTAGTCTCTACATCTACACGCGTACAAAGAACAAATATTCACTGGTCCTTTACAATGACGATTCAATGGTTATGAATTAGTGTAATTCATGGATATAATGGATATATGGACGACGACGACAACAACAACAACAAAGGATATATTGACAAAAGGATATATTGAAATATGCAGGAAATTGTTTCTCTATAACACATTGTGAGTCGAGGAATCTCTTTCTTTTGAGCTGGCCATGTCGGAGTGTATTTTTACTAACTTGGTACGCTATATCACATTCAGAGAACTCTTTTACATGTCCTTTTGTATTGTGTTTGGTAAATATATAATATTTGTTGGAGTATTTTGTATATAGTTGAGTCACATGAAATTCACGATTCCAGTTGGTATATCATTTGAAGCTTACCATCATCTAATCTTTGGCATATATAATCCGTGTGGTTGCTTAACAAAATCTGTTCGAATAATCTCCATTAAATGACTTCTGTGTTTGTGACCTTTTACTCAAACTTTATATATTTTCTCCTCTCTAATTTGTGTTTTTTGCTTTGTCAGAAGATTATTTTTGTATAAAATATAAATGTTAGAAACATTCTACCCATTGTTTAGTTTCTTTGACTAATTTTGTAGTGTTAGTTCTGCACCATTTCAGTTTGGCTTTGATTGGATAAATAATAGGATTGTTTATGCTAATTTGCCAATTTCCTCATATTTTGAAGTTATCTCGAAGTCGGATTCTGGGCCCTTTATTCACCGTTTTGAAGACGTTACAATTTCTAAACCCCCGCAGCATCGCGCGGGCAACCTTTCTAGTCATCACCTAAAGAGGAAGAAAATGATTGCGATACAGGATCATCTGATAAGCAATAAAAAGAGAGCAAGAAAATACATTTAGAATTGGTTAAAAAGCTTGTTTCCTAAAAGTTGTATGTATTATTCTAAAACCAAATTCCTCTCCTTTCCGAGGTATTTACTCATTCGAGTTTGAAGAACATGGTGCCGAAATCTGATGTAGAGGATGTTGAGTTTTGTTTGAAGAACTTGATCGAAGCTCTTGAGGCTGCGTAGGAGGAGGCGAGAATCAAGGCTTAGGTAAAAACAAGCAAAAAGGCAGAGGAAGAAGAAAAATTGAAAGCAGAGAAAGAAGTGAAGTCAAAGGCAGTGGAAGAAGCAGATTCAAAAGCAGATGGTGAAATGTAACGGAACATCAGCTTAGCTTCATAGGACCAAGTAAACTCTCATTTGTACAACTTTTATCCGTGTTTTTTAGGAAAATAAGCTTATAATTTTCTCAATTAACAATTTAAAAAGGTCCATTGTCCCACCTAGTTCGTAGGTCTAACCAACGATCTGGGTGTGATCTATCAGCAGCGGCATTCTTCCTTGCTCATTCCTAGGAACTCAGTAACGTGGCCAGTAAGTCAGCGAGCATTGAGGCAGGCAGACAAATATTATTAACTGCTTTCAGTCGGTAAGGAAAGGAAGGCTGATTTCACCGATTATCCTTACTTGACGCTTTGGACGAGTATTTCAAAACCTCAGTTCACTATCATTAAGGGAACTTCTTCGATTACCACTTTGAGCCTTAAGGGTAATTGTCTGCAATTTCCATCAGAAGTGTAATTGGTTTCCTTGTTTTTCTTTGGCTTGCATGTAAGTTGCAATTTAACTGATTGATTACCAAATATTTGGGTTCATGATTTACTCTTGGACCATACTAAAAGGAAAGTACCAAGAAAGCATGTGTGTGATGCTGAACTGAAAGACGAGGATGACATCATTGCAATATGACGTCATAGAACTCATACATTTTCCAATTTTTTAAACAAAATAATAATTTCCATTTGGTTTTACTTTAACTTAACCTACTGAGCAAGTAATCGAGTCAATTTTTGGACCGCATTGTTTAAATGTATTCACACAGAATAATAAATGCCGACTCACCCAAAACCCCCTTTCAATTAAATATTTTTTAATTTTTAATTTAATCTCCACTAAATTATACAAATTCTCACCCAACCTAGTATATTGGACCAAGAACTTCAAGTTAAGGGAGTAATCCGGATTAATCTCATGAGATGGAAATGATTGAGATAGTGATCGAGTATGGATTCATTTTGTGCCTTGTCTTTTTTCTAGGGAAGTGAATCCTACAAATCGAGTGATTTGTCACGCTTCAGGCCAAGGACAGATTGGCTATCCATGGATGTACCAGGCCGTTCGACCAAGGCGGCACACCCTTCAAGATGTTAACTTGACTTCTGTTAGGTACGTCTATCTTTGTAGACATGTTTGCAGTTGGTATATGGTCTCGTCACTTTAGCTAGATTAGAGAAATGCGTTCGGAGCAACATTCTAAAAGCTAGAATACATTACATGTGCTTATCATACTTATGCAGTATAGGGATTGAGATGAGGCATGGTGGGCAACGTCCATGCCAATTCGCTCCGTTCTTCAAGAACGTTGACATTATTATCTACTCCTAACGGTGGGAAGTCAAAGTGACAAACTGCAAAATATAAGCAGTAAAGAGATAGCTTACAAGGACTCATAAGGATCTTGAAGAAGAATCGTAATTGGCATAGATTCAAATCTTGATGTGAGGACCCATATCGATAAAAGAGAAGTAGCAAGATTTCAAGATATGTTTATCCACTGATCCACTTGTTAGGTTTTGTTTTCTTTGATTGCTCTTGCTTTTGTTGGATGGATTAAGGTTAACACAAATGGGTTTTCTAAATAAATGGTCATGTGGATAGTGGTGGTGTTTTCCGTGACTCCAATGGTCTTTCTTTAGGAGTGTTTTCCTCATCTTTGTATGCATTGAAATTTTGAAATTTCATGTTTACAATCTTCTTGCCCAAGTGTAATTGTTGATGAGATTGTTGTTGTGATCAAGGCAATTCAGATTGCGTGAGATAAAGAGTGACAACACGTTTGGTTAGAGACAGATTCTATGCTTGTCGTTCACCTTTTATCAACTCGCTTCAAGGATGTCCCATGGTTTCTCAAAGTTTCTTGGGCAAACTGTTTATGATATTGCTCACTTCCGCTTGCGTGTTTTGCATAATTTTAGGGAAGAAAATTGTTTGACGGATGCTTTTGCTAATTTTGGGGGAATGAATAGTAGTTTTACGTGGCAGGACTTGGAGACCTAATTTTGCAAATGCGTCTTATAGAAGAGACCGCATTGGCTTCTTGTCTTTCGTTCGAGGTAATTTTTTTAATATGGTTTGTAGCTTGTCGCTTGGTTGCAGTTGGTGGCAGCATTTTAGTTTTGTTTTAGAGGAGTTCCTACATCCCCCTCTTTTCTTGTATTCTTCAAATTTTAAGAGGTGGTCAAGTTTTTGTTCCTTCATCGTCTTGTGTTCTAGGGGGAAGATTTTTGCCCCTTGACTAGGTGTAACTTTACATTTTCTTATCAATAAAATTTTCTCGTACGATCTAGGTTCCATGGAAAACAGAAGGTTTGTTTTATTTTCTTCGTTTATCATACATGGTTAATTGCTCGTCACTTGATTCATAAGCTCTGATTAAGTACCTTGATTATTAGGATAGAGCTTCAGTAATATTTCATTTAGTAATACGGTCTATTTCACTCCCCTTGTTTGGAAGTTTTAGATTAGAATCTTTTGAATGAGACAAAGAACAAATAAAACTTGCTAAAAAAGCCGGCTAACGGGGGTATTCTTGTCAAATTTGTCACCAATTTATTACACAAGAAAATTGTATGACGTAGATTAGATCCCCATTCTTTATGTAAATATATCAATTCTTCAATGAAAAATAAAAAAATTCGTGATATAAAATGTAATTTTTAAATGTTATTTATGTTGATTTTAAAGAAAAAACAAATTTGTCCAGCTCACCCAACTTTGTCGTTACGTCCCTCCAGAACCTTTCTTTTTCATGGCGGGCCGCCTTTGGACAATCCCACCAAACTTCCTCTTGCTTTCCTTTAGTCAATTAAACATTGTAAACAACTCAAACTTATCTTCCAAGAAACGAGCATCTCCTTCCCTATATAAAACCATGTCTTTCATCGTAGCAGAAACGAAAAAAACCTAAACCTTCAAGAGCTACCGAAAACCCTTCCGACGAAAACGAAGATGATGGGAGAAATGTGGGCTCAAACGGGCTCGGTGATTGCGAGTGTGATGTTTGTTGCTGCCATATTCCAACAGTACCTTCCTCCCCAACTTCGGTACCATGTCGAAAGATACACTAAAAAATTAGTGAGCCTTGTCTACCCTTACATCCAAATCTCCTTTGATGAATTCACCAATGATTTTCGCAAGCGAAGTGAAATCTATTCCGCCATCCAGAGCTACCTCAGCGCGAAGTCTTCCACCCGGGCTAAGCGGTTAAAAGCTCATGATGTCAAGGACAGCAAGTCTGTAGTCCTTGGCATGGATGACAATGAAGACGTGACTGATGAATTTCAAGGCATTAATCTTTCATGGGCTTCGATGAAACGAACGAAGAATCAGACTTCATTTTCTTTCTATCCTCAGGCTGATGAGAAGAAACATTATACGCTGACGTTCCACAGGCGCCATCGAGATATCATCACGGGGTCTTACCTTGATTATGTGATAAAAGAAGGGAAGGCGATATTGGTGAGCAACAGGCAACGAAAGCTCTATATCAACAATCCTACACAGAATTGGTAT